ATTAACAACCAAAAACAGTAATTTCCATTTCAGCAAATGGCCCAGCTGCAAACATTAGAGGACTCAAAGCACGCGAAGATATTGAGCTAATAAAAATAAACAGATCAAGGGAAAATTTTCTAAAATACAGAGTTGCAAAATGGTAGAATAAACTACCAGAAGAAATCATTTCCACCAATAGTGTAAAAATTTTCACCTGCATTCTTATCCTACCGCATTCTTATCCTAAAGTGAAGCAGTCTAAAGAACGATCGAGTCAGACAAGCTGGATAAACAAATGGATATTATGAAATTCTGATCTCTATGAACATTTTGAAACTGTAATTAGAATGGGCTCGTAATAGATTAAATATGGCGTTGAACCTCAATAAAATATGGCGTTGAACCTCAAGGAGCATAAATGAATAAATAAATATTAACATTTTGTTGATTTTTTCAATATGAACTAATATTATGTTAGATCAGGGTAAACTAGTAAACTTACTTTATACATTTGTAGAAATATATTAATATGAAGTGATTAACAATTAAAGTCAGGGCCGGCACGAGCAGGTATCACGTGGGGAAGGGGGATGCCAAATGCACGAAAAATTGATGGATGGGTGTCACACCCACCCACCCCTACACACACATACGAACCCCTTTCCCTTCGCGCTTGCCGAATTTATTTTATTAAAGTAATATGAATATAGTCTTTGTGTATACGTCTTTACGTATATACAAAGACTATATAGTATATATACAATATTATATAGTATATATACATTAATATATACAAAATATACTATACAATATAGTATATATCCAAAAAATATATAGTAACGACAATCATAGCCGGCGCGAGTAGGTGTCACATGTGTGTGTGTGGGGGGGAGGGGGGTGCTATTACAACTTTTGTAAAAAAAGGTCCTTGTTTTTTAAAATTTGCTAAATTTACCGACTAGCTTATCCAAAGGGTCTACATTTGCCGACTGACTTGTCTTAAAGGGCCAAATTTGCCAACTAAATGAACAAAAAAATCATTGTAAAATAATAAAATTTAGGTAAAAAGTTTGTTTTATAATAAGAAATAGTGGACACAAATATATGTTGTAGTATAAAAATGTAACACAATTTAAATTAAAAAATTATTTGGTGTAAAAAGTCTATCAGGAATCCAAATAGACTGTGAGTTTATTCATCCACATTGTGTATGCATATTGACCAAGATAATTTCTTTCAAAATTCCAATCCGATAAATTAAACTAAAATAACATGAATTCATTGAGTTCAATTCAATAAAATGAATTCATTTAAAGTTTCTATTTTAAATTTGCATTTGTTTTTTTGTGTGTGTGTTTGTTATTTTATTTATTAACTTTTAAAAGTAAAACAGTTTGTTATACTCAAACTCTCACTTGCTTAAGTATATCAATGTTCTGGGGTACTTTTGTTCCCAGGCTTCCATCATCACAATATTTTGCAAAAGAATCTTCATTTGGCATAGAAATGAACATATTTAAGTTTATACTTTACACAATGCGTGAAAGTGTCCTTTCTGAAACATCATAAAATCATTCAGGTGCACATTACTGCATCTGTATAGTTTTACTTCCTGACTGTCCGCTGGTGTTAGATGATAAATGCTCAAAACAAGTTAAAATAGAATTTGATTTTCAAGGACGCGCACCACTATAAAATTAATTTATCATAAGGTACTGTAATATTAAATTGAAAAAAATGTCAGTTTTTGCGAAAAATTAGACAAAACATGTTTTTTTTCACAACTCTTCTAGAAAATTTTTCATTTATTTTAACGTGAAATTAAAAAATATAGTTGCTCGTTTAATACAAACAAAATTAATTTTTTCTATTTTCTTATTACATTTTTTTTTTTAATTCTATTTTTTAAACTACTCCTAATACTTCTAATGCTAAATGAATTTAAATGTCTCAAGTTGGTCAATTTTGGTCAAAAGTTCAAAAGAGTTTTCTTTTTTTTGCTTTCTGAGTAGAATCGTTGTTAAGCAGAGGAGGAGCGGCCTAAATATTGTTGATCCCATGCTCCCACATTTAAATTTCACAAAATGATTTTAATTCAAATGGAAATGCAAGATGATTACGCATGAGAATAAAGATAAGAACCGTTCAATTGGTTTTTCATACGGTAAAACGTAACATTGAACAAATTAGAGTTGATTGATAAATAACTTAATCGAAGTTGTTTCAACGATGATTGAGAAATAATTTGCAATCTATATTTGAATTAAATAAAAATTATCTACTTCAACATTTTGTTTTAGGAATGTAATCATATAATTTGCGAATTCTAAAACTTTGGTGGCTATCATATGGATGAACTCTTCGCAAATGTTTTTGATAAGTGCTTTCTTTTCTTTTGTTACCATACCATGGATAAGGTATTGAGCGTAAAAAGGATCGAAAATTGATTATAACTCTACTAGTTTTTCTAGGGTATTGAAAATCTTCTTTTTTTTGTCTAACCACAGAATGATATTCCTCTCAGAGTTATCAATAAATAAAACATAAAACTAATTTCAATTTTAAAACAAATTAGATTTCAGTACCATTATTAAATAATAATTGTTCAATTAAAGTATTTATAACTATTAATCTAAAATTTATATGATTGTTCAATATATTCGAAACCTAGACGAGAGATTAAAAACTTTGATTGTTTGTCAAACAATTGAATCTCTTTGGTCCATTAATCTTTTTCGGTCTAGTATAACTAGATAAAGTCTGACTCGAACATTCTTTAGACTGCTTCACTTTAGGATAAGAATGCGGTAATTAATTTTTATTTTACTGAAACTTTAATTTCATTAAGTTTTACTGTTATTTCCTACTTTTCCATTCTTTAACTATCTCTCTTCTAATATTGTGTTGTTTATTTCTATTTGTTATATGTTTTTTTGATTTATTAATAAGTTTTTTTCTTTTTAAATTAGTGGTTGATGCGCTTGCCTCAGAAGCTAGAAGTTTGTGGTTCAACGCCACCTCTGGACAAGCTTCATAACATCGTTAAGAAAGTAGGCGTGAACTTCCTTTTAAATGCTCTTCCTTGGTATCGTGTGATAAGACCGTAAGGATTTCTTTGGGCACCTAAAATAAAAAAACAAAAAAAATATTTGAAAGCCAACAGTTGCTAGAAGGCCTAAAATCTTTTTTAAGCGGGGACAATGAGAAACATAATAGTTTCTTTTTCTCTAGCATTTTTTTTTTCCTATATTTTTAATAATATAATTTCATTCAAATAATATTTATTTTTACTAAATTCACTCAGACGCTTTGGCCCCTTGAACTGCGTGGCCACTCTTCACGCGGCCGGTAAACGCGTGGGTAAAACCGGCCCTGCATTTAGGCGCATACATTTGGGACCAAGTCTATAAAGTAAGTGTTAACAGTTAATTTTGAGTAATACTTTTTTTTTTCTTACGGGATTCAGTAAGTTTATCCAAACCTTGTAATATACTTTTATGATATATTTGATAACTCTAGCAGAATTTTTTAGCTTCATATCGCTGACAATCCATACATCTGTCAATCAGTCGCTGACAATCCATACATTATTATAAATTATGTTTTCTTAAAATGTTTTTTTTTTAAGTTTTGCTTATCTTGAACTCTTGGTAATTGGCTTTATTTATAAAAAGTTTATATTTTTTAGACGTTATTTTTTATCCTCTTTTAGAACCGGGTTTTTAAAAAAATTTCTGGAATTAAACTTTTAAAAGAGTATTAATTTCAGTAAAATGACTTTTGTGGGGCATATCGGTACAATAAGTTATTTATATAATTTGCTACTATTTTATGATGCTGTTTACAGTTTGATGATTTCATTTTTAATATAAAATACTATTTTCTTTATTTAGAAAAGTAATATTAGTAATAAATTGAAAGAAACCGTTATTTTTATAACTTAACTTCGATTATTTATAGTGTTTAATGCAAATAACGACGGTAAGAACTTATATAAGAAAGATCAATCGTTCAAAATGGAATGAAATGCAGTTTTAGCTATAAATTAAAATGAACTTAAAACTAAAAAAGCTTCTGATACATATGGCATATTTAAATTTGCTCTACATTGGCATATTGCTAATAAGCCAGCTCATCAAAAATTTTGCCAATTAGTTTCAGAATTTTTTTATGTGATTTATGTGGTCCATATATTTTTGTTTAATTTTAAATTTAGTGGTAGTTTCCAATTTAACAATATATATCAGTTTTGTCCTACTTAATTTTTTGAAAATTTTTTAACCTTGCTTGTACTCAAGTATTTTATTATAAATCACAAAAAAGTTTTTTTATTTTAGTTGTTATTTCATTTTGTAGTGTATGGGTGTATCGGCTTTTTTGAGAGTTTAATGTCTGAACATGTTTAAATGATAAATAGCCTTCATTTCTTATCATTTTTAAAGTTTTACAATTAAATAATAACTGCTGCTATTTAACTGTCCCGTTTCGCCCCACCCACTTGAAAAATATAAAAATCTAGAGTTTCGTTACTTTGGTGATCATAGCTTATTTTTAATTTTTGTTTGGTTTTTTTGTTTTCTTATATCAATGAGTTTTAAGAAATTTATAAAAAGCAGTGTTAACTATGATTAGTTTATCTGCAACTAGCATTATTGTATCCCTATATACCCTGTTCTACCCAATAATACATTATGAGGCTAAGTAATAAGAAAACTATATTCTCTTTGCCCCGGTCTTGTTAATCTTTATATATATATATATATATATATATATATATATATATATATATATATATATATATATATATATATATATATATATATATATATATATATACAGGCGCGGATCTAAGGGGTGGCCATTGTGGCCATGGCCACATAGTTTAAAGCCAGATTGATTTATTAAAAAAAAATTATTTAATGCTTATCAAAAGTCTTTTAAATTTAGATATAATTATTAAGATATTTTTAAATATATGTAATTGAAAACGATTTTAGGACTTGCGTATCATTTTTCGTCGTTGATAAACTACGTCACGCTAAATTTAAATTTTAAAAACGCTGTAAACATCCGCTATATTATTTCAAAATTCTCTGCAATAGAGAGTCAATAATACTTATAAACTCTGCGTGACGTACTTTATGGATAACCCTTATCGGGTTATGGCCATAGAGATAAAATTTAACGGCAGCCAACTTAGCTTTGGGTTTCTTTGCTAGCGTAATATTCCTCAAAATTTCATTACGTCTGCCGTAATTTACGTAATTTGGCCATAGAGATTCCTGCCATGGCCACAACGGCTCCTATTATACGTTACCGACCTTTTATTCAATCGATAAATGCTATCAAATAAATAATAAAATATAGATCTTTCAACCGTGAAAATTAAACTTGGCCACACAGTTGGTTTTGACGTGTCCGATTTAGAAAAATGTTCTCTTATATAGTAGCTAACTAATTTGGGTTTTTTATTCGTTACCGTAACATTTTCATTAAAATCGTCTTTAGAAACTTAAATAGCGTGACTTTAATAACTTGATTTTTTAAAATTTATATAATATGAATCCATATTTAACTGAAGAACTAGTTGCTTGTGCAATAGAAACAAAGCATAGGCCTAATGTCTTAAATTACAAAACTAGACTCATTAAAGAGCTTTCGGAAATAAATTTAATGTTTCCAAGAATACACGATTCTTACCAATTTAACACAGATATGATGGATTTTGTACCCTTAAGTAAAAAAAATCTTGGTTATTCAGCATTGAGGTATTTTTTGTTTGTTTTGAGTTTTATGAAAGTATTATTTATTTAAAATAATATCACAAATTGGATCTAGATGTAAGATCAATATTAGATTTTAATTTTATTTATTGGTATTTTAACACCAATAGAATATAAATCTGTGTTAATAATTAGTTAAACGTTTAACTAATTATTAACACAGATTTATATTCTTGATAATGAGTATGAAAATAAATTATTTATTAAACATACAAATAACCTAAAAAAAGTGATTTAGTTTTTTTTTAATTTAATTTTAATTTTTTTTTTTATTTTTTTTTTTTAATTATGGTATATACTAAAATGTATTATTAGTAAAAAAAAAAATATTTATAGTTGAACTATTTATTTTTTTGTTATTGATATTACATTTTAGTATATACCATAATTTAAAAAAAAATCATTATTATATTTTAATATATTTTACTATTTTTCTCAGATCTACTGAAGATGGAAATTGTCTTTATAGTTCAGTATCTTTGATTTTAAATGACAATAATCATACTTCAAAAATTCTAAGATTACTGACATCAATTGAGTTATTTGAAAACATAAATTTTTACACAAGGTATGATTATTTTTGTAGTTATTTTAATCAACATAGATCTGAATATTCTCAGCTTTCTAATTTGTTTTTTATTGCTGTTTCGTTTAAATGCTCTGACAGTTTTTCAACAATTAATGATAATATGATTTCTGAACTTCTGTTAAAAGAAGCGTATTTAAATTGCTTTGATAAAACATTTTCATCTTTCATTTGTCTAATAGCATTATCTAATGTTATAAAGCAACCTATTGAATCTATTTATCCTGAAATCGGTTTTAAAAAGTATCATAGTTTTTTTAATACTCTTATAAAGCCTCGCATCCAAAAATTAAATTGTCCAATAAATATTTTGTGGTGCAATTTAGATAAAACAAAAAACCAAAGTATTTTATGTTTTAAGCCAAATCATTTTGTGGCACTGGTTAAAGATCTTTCTAAAAAACGTCCAGCTGTTGTTATGAGTGATCCAAGTTTACTTAGCATCAAAAAAATAAAAGTTTCTAAGTCTAGTTTTCCACCTACAGATAACAAAATACAGAAACCAATTCAGTCTAAATTATTTTTCCCTACTGTTTCTAAAAACACTTCAGATATAGATAAGTCTAGTTTTTGTAATAAAATAGTAAAAACTGAAGTAGTTATCTCAAAAAACGCCAACAACAATGATAAAAAGCAAATGAATCTTGAATCTAATGTTCCACAAAAGGAAAGCAATATTGTTGACATTAGTTTATTAAATACAAATCAGTTAGCATCTTATTCAAACTATGATGTTTCATCATACTGTCTACAAGGTGAAAAATTAAAATCAGGAACAAATGATCATGAACTTTTATCTCTAATTAATAATGTCTGGGTTCCGGATAAATGTTTCCAATTCCCTTTAACAGGTAAAAGCAGAAAAAGACGTTTTTTGCTAAAATGGCTAGATGATTTTTCTTGGCTTTGTTACTCTAAAATTGAAGATGGTGCATATTGTCTTCCATGTACACTTTTTGGTACAAATTTACCAAACAAATATGCATTATGTAAATTGTTTAAAGAACCATTTAATACCTGGCGTAATGCTGTAAAAGTTTTCAACGATCATGAGAAAACTGTTGACGGATTACACATCAAGTCCATGCATTGTTATAATATGCTTTTATCTAGAGCTAAAAATAATACTTTTCCTATTGAAGTTTCTTTAGATAGTTCTAGGAAACAGCGTATAGAAGAAAACAAAAAAAAGCTTGAATCAATTGTTAAGACTATAATATTTTTAGGTCGAAGTGATATGCCTCTACGAGGTCATAGAGACGATAGAAAATATCAAGGAGAAATTGGAGAATCTTCAAAAAATACAGGGCTAGGTAATTTCATTGAGCTTTTAAATTTTAGGGTTGATGCAGGTGATTTAATTTTAAAGGAGCATCTTCTCTCTGCCCCCAAAAATTCCACATATATTTCAAAGACCATTCAAAACGAGTTAATTGAGTGTTGTGGAAATGCAATTGAAGAAGTTTTATTAAATGATATTAAAAAAAGTAAGTACTTTTCCATTATTGCAGACGAGGCTTCAGACTGTGCAACAATAGAACAACTTTCTATTGTCATACGTTATGTTGACTTGAACAGTAATATTAAGGAAGTTTTTTTACGCTTTTTTGAATGTAAAACAGGTACAAGTGGTTTAAGCATAGCTACCAATATTCTTGAAACTTTAAAAGAATTTGGTTTAGAAATAAGAAAATGCAGAGGCCAGTCTTATGACGGAGCTGCTTCAATGTCAGGTGAATACAAAGGTGTTTCATCTGTTATAAAAAATGTTAATCCTAAGGCATTATTTGTCCACTGTGCCTCACATAAACTTAGTTTAGTTGTTGGGAAGAGTTGCCAAATCCAGCAAGTAAAAAATTTGCTTGAGCAAGTTAAAGACATAACTTATTTTTTTAACTTTTCTCCAAAAAGAAGTAATTGCTTAAAGAAATACCTTCTTCCTGGTCAAGCAAAACTTATTGACACATGTCGAACTCGGTGGGTACAAAAGCTTCGTGGACTTGATGTGTTTTTCGATAATTATTCTGCAGTTTTTTCTGCTTTTGAAGAAATGGAAGACAATAATTTAAAAGAGTACAATAAAGAAACATCTTCAAAAGCATCTTCTTTTATGAAGTTATTGACAAATTTTTCTTTTATAGTTTCTTTAGTTTTAACTAAACAACTAATGGATTACTTTTATGGAATTTCTGTTACTCTTCAAACTAAATCTTTTGATATTTCCCAGCAACTGGATGAAATTCAGAATTTGACTAATCGTTTAAGAGAAATGCAAAGAAATGCTGATGCTTACCATAATAAATGGTATAAAATTGCTCTTGCATTGGCTAAAACATTTGATATTGATGAAAAAAAACCTAGAACATGTGGTGTTCAGAAGCATAGAGATAATCAAATATGTGATACTGTATCTGATTATTTTAAAGTTTCTATTACATTGCCTCTTCTCAATCACCTTCTCAATGAACTAGAAAATAGGTTTGATATTGAGAGCTTAATTGTTTATAATGGTCTATGTGCTATTCCTGCTAGTTTAACAAAGCAATATTTTAGATCTTGTCCATGGAAAGAAAAATTCCTAATTTTTTTGAATTTTTATAAATCTGATCTTCCTCATTTCTCATCAATTAATGCTGAATTAGAGTTATGGGAGGAATTTTGGAAAGAAAAGACAGAATTACCATCTACTATTTCAGATACATTAAAGTTTATGGATATGAGAGGCTTTCCAAACATTTTAGAGGCTTTTCATATACTTGCTACAATACCAATCACAACTTGTGAGTGTGAAAGGTCAATATCTACTCTTAGGAGAATAAAAACTTACACTAGGAGTACTATGTCAGAAAATAGATTGAATGGGCTTGCTTTAATGTCTATTCATCAGGAAATAGTTCCTGATATTAACAGAGTTATTGAAATATTTGCATCCAAAGGAGATAGAAAATTAGAGTTTTTATTCAAATAAAAGTTTTGAAGTTATGTTTAAAGTATTAACTATTGTTTTAAAAGTATCTCTTAAATATAAATAATTTTTCAAAAGCAAAATATTTCTACTCATTGTTTTAAACATGTAAATTGTGAAAATCATTTTTCATTAGCAAATTATTATTATTCATTGTTTTATATAAACGGTGAAACTCAATACTTCATTTGCTATTTCAATTAATTCCTAATGTTGAGAGCGTTTTCAGGTGATTTAGGTTGTTACTTTTTTAGTTGTTACTTTATTTGTTGTATTATATTTTTTCTTGTTTATTTATTTATTAAAAAATAAAAGTAAAAAAAATTATAAAAATATTTAAAATATTTGTGCATAACTGCCTATCAAAAAAAAAAAAAAAAAAAAAGAATCCAGAAATGGAGGGCTAACCTTAAATAAGATTACTAATACTTAAGTTAAACTGTTTATTAAGAAAAGGAAATAATCCATAAATAGAGCAGTAACTTTAGGAAACATTAATAATAATTAACTTAAATTGACTATCAAAAAAAGGGAAGAACCAGAAATGGAGGGCTAACCTTAGGCAACATTACTAATACTTTACTTAATCTGCCTATCAAGAAAAGGAAAGAATCCAGAAATGGAGGGCTAACCTTAGGCAACATTACTAATACTTTACTTAATCTGCCTATCAAGAAAAGGAAAGAATCCAGAAATGGAGGGCTAACCTTAGGCAACATTACTAATACTTTACTTAAACTGCCTATCAAGAAAAGGAAAGAATCCAGAAATGGAGGGCTAACCTTAGGCAACATTACTAATACTTTACTTAATCTGCCTATCAAGAAAAGGAAAGAATCCAGAAATGGAGGGCTAACCTTAGGCAACATTACTAATACTTTACTTAAACTGCCTATCAAGAAAAGGAAAGAATCCAGAAATGGAGGGCTAACCTTAGGCAACATGACAGTTTACTGATGGAGTGCAAAGTCCTATGGCTTACCTTCTCGTTGGTGCACTTCGTTAAGTGAGTTAGACAAGTATTATGTCTAATTTATGAACTAAATAGCCAAGGCAACAATTTAAATAACTTTATTGTTAAATAGATAACTAAAAACAGAAAAAATCATGACATCAATAGGGTGATGTCACCCCTTCTTTCTCAACTGAAAATATAAAATTGTATCTGGGAATTTTAGATATAGTTTAAAGTTAACAAATGTAAAAAATTGAGGCTTATTTATTTTTTTGTTCAAGGCACTTTACTCCCCCCCCCCCCCTCAATCTCTTCCTATCACTTATTTAAAAAAAAAAAAAGCTCTTCGCGCCGTCCGCGAACCCAGATTTGGCCACATAGTTACAAAATCCTGGATCCGCCCCTGATATATATATATATATATATATATATATATATATATATATATATATATATATATATATTAATTGTTATTATTGTTAAACGACTAAAAAAGATGTACACAAAAAAATTATTTTTCTCATTCAGTTTTGGAAAGAAAAATTTTATTTCCAGAAAGGTAACGTTTCATGGAGCAAACTTAGATATGTTTATTCTTATATTAAACGAGAATGCTTTGCAAAGAACCGCTATGATTGGAGTCTCAACAACAAAAACCAAAAAACTTGGTTCACCTCATCAACCCCCTAAATTTAAAAGTAATAGTTTGCTAGGTTTTATATTATTGCAATTTTAAACTGATCAGTTTAAAATTTAGTGAATATAAATTCATGAACTTTTATTCATTAATAGATTTCAGTAATATTTAAGTGTTCACAAGAGGATCATGTAAGGCTTCCAAACCTTATTAATGAGAGGGTTTTTTTATTTGAAGTTTAAAGTAAATCGTTCAAACATCAAAAAAAGGTGCCGCGATGCATGACTTTTAAAATTTTTTCAATGACTCATATGACTATTAAATCATTTTTTACTAAAGCTCATTTGTGGTTGTCTACAAACCACAAATGTTCAATGGAAAATTTATGAATAAAGTTGAATAGGGAGAATTTCAGCCAGTTTATATTACACGTTTGCTTATTTGATTGTTAAATATGTATGTAACAAAAAATTGCTAAGTATTTTAATTTATATATCAAGCCCTCAATTATTTTTATAGCATCAACAACCAACGGGTCAAATTTAGCAGTTAATATTGAAATTAAAATTGTTATGTAGATTTTTAAAAGAAGCTGGAGTCGGCACCGGAGCCATGAAACAACTGTCGGCTCCTCGGCTTTCTTAAAATAATTTTTTTTTTTCTTTCTTTCTTGCCACCCTTACTTTTATCTTATATGATTGACTATATTAATTAATAATAAGAAGAATGCGTCAGTAAAACTTAATTTAACTTTCTTTAGCTTATATCATTCTATTTTTATTCATATTAGGCAATAATATGCGGACGTAAACAATTAAAAAATTAAGTAGAATTATAATAGAGAAAACATTAATTATTGGTTTAAAGTTCTTCAAAAAAACACAATAGATTTCGTTAAAAAGAAAAAACTCAGAAAAAGATCTTCCAGTTAAAATACCAGATCTGGTTTTGAATAACAAATCAATTAAAAACTATGATAAGTAAATAAATAAATAAAAGCTAGATATTAAAATAAAGATAAGGTATTTCGGAATTCGTTGATATTGATCTTGACTCATTATATACATTATATTAAAAAATTAAATATAACCAAAAAATTAGTAAAAACTTTAGTATGATGCATTATTTTATATATATATATATATATATATATATATATATATATATATATATATATATATATATATATATATATATATATATATATATATATATATATATATATATATATATATATATATATATATAGATATATATATATATATATATATATATATATATATATATATATATATATATATATATATATATATATATATACATTGCATGCAAATATTACGAACTCACAAATACCTTTTCAAAGTAATTCCCTTAACAATAGCTTATATAATTTAACATAGTTGTTGAAGTATGAAAAGCAAACAAAAAGATAATATAAACCTTTAAAGAAAGACATTAAAATATAATAAGTAATAATAACTTAAAATCCTTAAAGCTTTTTCTTTAAAAGCAAATCAACGCAACATAAATTGACGAATAAATTCAATATATAGACTATTTAAAAGGCCATCAACAACAAGTCTTCAATATGTTTGTGGATAGAAAAGAAGAATAAGTAATACATGATTTTTTTTAAATTGTTTATTAAAAGACTGCAAAAAAAATTTCACTGCAAAAAGGAATTTTATCTGCATCATAATATAGAGTTTAAGGAGTCATCCATGAAGTACGTCACGCTAAGTTTAACTAATGCATTAGTTAAACTTAGCGTGACGTCCTTTATGGATGACCCCTTAGACTCAATATTATGATGTAGATTAAATCCCTTTTTGCAGTGAAACATTTTCCATCTGCAGTTTTTTTCACTTGCAGTTTTTTTGCAGTGAAATATTTTTCAACATTCTCCCATTATAATGGGAGAATGTTGGTTCTCGTGTACAGAGATTTTTAGAGTATTATAGCGCCTTATGTTTAATAAAAAACTCCGCGGAAAGAAACCATAAACTTCACTTCTGGTTAGTATTTAAATTCTGAATGACGTTCTTTATGGACCCCTAAATTATAAAAGTGCTGTTTAACATTTCAAATTTTTGAAATAAACAAATTTACAAAAAAAACTTTTAATGAATTTACTTTAAATTTAATCCTGAATTGCGCTGAATTAAAATAAAAATACAAACAAATTTAAAATAAAAATACTATACAAAACAAATTTAAAATAAAAATACTATACAAAACAAATTTAAAATAAAAATGAATATATTTATAAATATATTTATAATATTTATAAATTATATATATATAATAATTAAAAATAAAAATACTATACAAATTTAAAATTTGTTCATTTCAATAATTTTTTCTCACTTTAAATTTTTTTTTAATATATTTTTTTTTTTAAAGATAGTTTGTAGGTTGAAACTTTTTGTTTGACTGTAATATCTTGTATCTATAAATATTTATACTATAAATAACTTTTTTATCATTATTTACTCTCTAATACTCACTAAACTCATATGAATTTTTAATCTTCTGTCTAGACACTTATATTGTACTTAAAGCAAGTATTAATTATATTAAAAATTGCATTTGAAAAAAGTGTTACACTTCAACAGTTTTTGTTATCAACAATATAAATATCAAAAGATTTAAAAGAATAAATTTATTTACAATTAAAACAAACAAATACACGAACCTTGACAAACACTCGTTACACTAAGAAAAATTGTTATTTGCAGAACAACTAAAAAAAAAACATGTTATTTGCAGAGCAATGGAGGATATGTGTGGGGGGGGGGGGGGAGGGGGAGGGAAGGGGGTTTCGATTTTGAGACTTCACGGAACTCACTGAAAACAAGGGCTGTAAAAACTATTAATAATTATGTAACAAAAAGGATCAAAAACTACTTGAACAACTTGTAGTTTTAAATTAAATTAATAAAAGTTGCGACATTCTCAGAACGTAAATCTGTTTTCTATTTTTTTTGGTTGAAAATAACTTTATGGTCTAATCTTGAAGCACCGTGGATCAGCATTTAATTAAAAACCTTACCGATGTCAATTTAGGCCAGAGGAGGTATTAAACCGAGGAACTTTTGATTCAGACGAGTAGCACAATAAGTTCATGTAAGTTCATATAAGTAGCCATTGTTACACTAGTTCGACGTCAAATTGGGCCACCAATTTGACGTCAAGCATTTATTACTTCTCAATCTTTACAAAGATTGTTGGTAACCCAAGGAAAAAATTCTCACTAAAAAGTTGTTATAAGAAGTCAAACAAACTATTTTATAGAACTATAACTTTTCAGCTGTAACTGTACTTGTGTCATGTATTAACATTGTGGTTTTCCTCCTCCAGCTATTTTTCGAAAAAATATTAAGTAAAATTTGTAACTAATAGAGTTAGAAAAATATATTTGTAATAATATTTGTATATTACTTATATTTTTAATTATAATATTTGTATATTACTCATATTTTAAATTATAATATTTGTTGAGTATTTGTAAGTAATAGAGTTAGAAAAATGGTATAGAGAAATGCGGACAAACTAGTTATTTAAGAAATACATAAACTAAACAAACATTCTCACCCTTTTGGACTAAAAGTTTTACTAAGTGTTTTTAAAAAATTTTCACAAATTAAAACTGTAAATAAATCTCATACTTATTAAAAGAATGTAATTTTATGAAACTTTTAAGTTTTTTTGTTGCATTTACTTTGTCAGAATATTTATGTTCCAATAATAATTCATTGCCTGCATGAACTTTCAATTTGTAAGTAGCAAAATTCGAAATTAAAAATAAAATAAAAAGTTTATAAGTTTGTCATATGGTCACGTGACTGGGCAATATGACTTATTATGCAATTTCTGCCTCTAATTTTATAAAATTTTAAAAACTTCCAACTACTCTAACTAAATTAACACAAAGTACACACGCGTTGCAAAAAAATGTTTTCAAATAAGTTACACCTAAGATAAAGACATTATACCTTTTGAATAACCAAAACTAAGGTATTTATTTTATAATCTTTTTTCATAATTTTTTAAAATATTATTAACGTATAAAGTTACGCTGATAATATTTAAAAAAAACCAATTGGTATTTTAAAATACAAGATAAAGTAACAGGTTGTCCTTAAAGTACAAAGTTTTTCTAAAACATATTTTGCAATTAAGCAACGTTTTTTACTATAAGTATTGATTGTCAATTTGTTTTCCAAAAAACTGCTTATGTAATTTATTGGTAACTCATAACATAAAAACTTAAACAATTTAAAGACAGCTTTTTTCAGGTTCCATTCAATGTCCATCTATTAACTAATTAAGTAGCTTCTAGATAGATTTTTTTAATAATATTGTTTTAATACAGTAATTATGTGTATGGTATATCTGTTGCAGTGCTGACTTTGGATTCAAATTCATAAAGCATAGATTGCTCACTTTCGATTCTAAAGTCATTCTAACCACTGTGCCACTCATGCAACTGCGTCACAGCTGCTTACTTAAACATTCTAGGGAAAAAATCAAAGTGATAAAACAATCAACTGTTATTACATTGTAAAAAACACAAAATAAAATCAAATGTGTTGCTTTTTAAAATTCTTTTATACTAGATGGACAAAATCTTAATGGTTAAAAACAATGCATTATCAATAGATTAGCTATTGCATTATGGATATTTTATCATAACTATACTCATAATTTTTTTTGCTTATTTTTTATTAACTTATTCATTAACTTATTTCTTATTTTTATTTATATTTTATTATTCATTAATTTTACATGTTGCCAATAAAACTAGGGGACAATTAAAAACAGTTGTTTTATAACCTTTTTTTTTAAGTAACTTCACTGATTGAAAATGGATTGGTATTAAAAAGCCATTAAAGTTTATCAGCTCGGTAATTTTTTTTTATGTTAATCTTATTAACTAGGATTAACTCATGACTATCACATGACTAATGTCGCATTTTTAATTCAACATTGAAAAAAATGATTAAGCTAAGCATATTTTTCAATAATCAATGACATCATTAACATAGTAATTACAATCACTTTATTACACCAGGGGATATTTTTAATTTTTTTAGATTTTTTGTCTGTTTTAATATTTTTATAACAGCTTAGGATTAGCTCACCAACTTTTTTTAAAGCAAAAACATTTTTTTATAGTTGACTAAAATAAATTAATAATAAACAAATTATATCCATAGAATTTTTTGTCAAACCTGCAACTTTTTAATTGTGAGCATCGATTCTATTTCTTATTATTTGCATATTTTTCAAATTAACTACAGCATAACATTTTTAAAAATACATATCAACATTAACGTTAGTGTGCCATTGATTTTCGTCATTTATTTTTGTATTTATTTGAAAATTATGTGCTAACATAAAAAATCTCATGTTTTTATATATGTTCTAAATAATTAATTTTGAATAAATTAATTAAAAAAAGATATATAACTGTAGAAAAGTATTCTACCTGAGTTTTAAAAATTAGTTAGCGATTTTAGAAATTGTTGTTTTGCATTTCTGCTTAACGCAGAAATGCAAAACAACAATTTCTGAAATCGCAAATTAAACAATTTCTAAAATTTGTATTTTTAAAGGTTTTTCTTTGTTAAATAAGCGAATATGAAAATATTTATTGACGCCCCGATTTTCTTCACTGGCATTTAAAATTTTTAGCAAAGAAAAAAAAAAGATGAATATAAAGTAAACAAGATTTCATAAAGTAAAGAGGGGCTAACAAAAATTTGTTGTTGTTTACGTTGGGCTCATAGCTAAAAATTTACATATCGTAGCTTTGTAGCTAGCTACAAAATATCTACAAACCTATAGTTGGTTGATATGATACGATTCTAGCTACAACAGCTGATTGATAGCTACATATCAAATCTTTTTAGATAGCAAATGTATTACGCTATGATGCTAGCTACAATAGCCGGTGGGTCATTAGCTTATTGGTATAGCTGTCCTCGTAGCCAAATCGCTGTTTTTATTTTTAAAAAAATCGATAGGTTTTGACTAACTTTAAAAAGCTAGCAATTCTCATGGCCAAATCGTTGTCTTTATCGTTACAATTAAAGCTAGCAATTCGCTAGCCGATTTCCCACAGCAGGGGCGGATGTAGCATTTTTTGATGTATGAGATACCTAACTTCCAGACATGGAGCAAACTCCAAAAATTTATATGTTTATACTTATATCAAATAAGGATGCTTTACAAAAAATTGCAATGATTGGAGCCTGGGAACAAAAAAGCCCTAAACTTTTAGCTACACCTGTCCTAAACGTGAGAGCAACAAGTTGATAAAATAATTTTTATATTATTTTTAACTAAATCTATATTCAACGACAAATTTTAAAATACACAAAAATCTTTTAGCGTTCAAAAACTATGACAATAAAAAGTTTTAATCCCCCTCAATTTGAGGGGGTTGCAAATTTTATAAGGCCATAACTGTTGAACGCTAATAGATTATTGTGTGAGTTTTAAAATTTATTGATGAATATATACTGGGTTAAAAATAGTAGAAAAAATATTTTATCAACTTGTTGCTCTCACGTTTGGGGCAGGTGTAGCTAAAGGTTTAGGGCTTTTTTGTTCCCAGGCTCCAATCATTGCAATTTTTTGCACAGCATCCTTATTTGAAATAGGTATAAACATATAAATGTTTGGAGTTTGCTCCATGTCCGGAAGTTAGCTATCTCAACGACCAAAAAATGCTGGATCCGCCCCTGCATAGGGTAAATATTTGAAATATTAATAAACTTTGATTTTGTATTTAATACTTTATAAGTTTTAACTTTTTTTTATTAAGTTTTTTGTTCACTGACACTGTAATTTTACAAAGTGATTAAAGCCTATTAAACATCAAATATTATTGTATACGTCCAAATTTAGTTACCTGTTGTGATTTGATGAATCGACAGGTGATAAAAGTTATTAAAATATCCCTTTGATAAGCTAGTAACAAATATACTGCTACCCAGACTACTCCTTATCGTAATGATCGACAATCAGTATGCAACTGGTTAAAGTTATACGGGTTCAATTTTTAAAATATCATTTCATTTCTAACTGTTAATTGCGCAGTTTATTTTGAGATTTCTACTACTTTTTTTTTTTGAAAAAGTTGTTTTAATTTACTTCAAAAAGTTTTTAAACTGTTAAAACGAAAAGAAAGTAGGTTTCTATAGAGTTGTAAAGCAAATCATTTTAAAAGATTCTGAATAATGATAGTTGCTTATGACGCAGGGCCGTAGGAACAAAAATTATATTGTGAGGGCAGTACTAACCCGAAATAGTTTTAAGGACCTTTTCTTTTATTTCATTTTTTATAATTTTTTCAGTCAATTTCTTTGAAATTTAACCGGGGGGCATATGCCCCTGCTGCCCACCCGGTTGCTACGGGCCTATGACAATTCAAACTGCTTAAAAAAATCTTAGAAAGTAAATTTAAAAAACTGTTTCAGTACTAAAGTATAGGTTATAGTACTAAAGTATATGTTATAGTGGTGGCGGGATAGCTCAGATAGTTAGAGCGTTAAAGGAAAAGTGAAAACCCGGACTGTTGAACGATACGAGTTCAAATCCCGCCACCGCCAACTCAGCGCTTAAGTAGTACTTCGGTACGCAAAAATGTTGGTCAATAACGGACGCTACTTTGGATTAGTCTTAATGACTATTTGTGGCCGTTCCTATGCTAAGCCAACAATATCTTCGGATATAAGAACATTGTATAGAAAAATATAGCATGAAAACTCAAATAAATAAAAAAATGAAAATAAAAAAAGTACTAAAGTATATGTTATAGTTGTTATAGTACTAAAGTATATGTTACAGAATTAAAGCGTCCTCTTTTTTACAAAGAAGAGCGCAGTGCAAACAGGGCCGTCCCAAGGAGGGGGCGTAGGGAGGTGTCTAGCCCCCCTTCAATTTTTATTAGTTGGCAAATTGGACACTAGAGACGGCAAAATTGGATTTAAAGTTGGCAATCGGCAAATTTCGGAAAACTTTTTTTTTTTTTTAAGTAAGTTAGAGGGCGAAAATTTTTTTTTTGGCTTTTGTCGGCAAAAAACAGATACCCTGAGTGCGAAAGCTAATTATTGTTCAGATTTTTACAAGGCTTTCCTACATAAATAGGAGGACGTTGGTTACCTTATTAGTATATAACCTTTAAAAATTAACTTTTAAAAAACTAACAAGTTAGATATTTTAAAGTTGTTATGTAAAAACTGTTTATTGTTTTTTCTTACAACAACGAATAATAATTTTTCTTAACTATTTCTCTTTTACAAGATGAGTTTTTTCAACATTATTAAAAAGACTATTTAAAACTATTTTTTAAAGACTATTAAAGACTATTTTTTTCTATTTGGAATATAAAGCACTTATTTATTTGTGCTAATTTTGAATTAATGACTTTTACATTTCCTTTTACCATTACTACTAAACAGTAAAATAAACTATTACGTAGGAGAAATTAATCAGTTTGTAATTTCTTGGTCAGGGCGGGAAATAGATAAGCATAATGTGATTTGAAAGAATGTAAACTTTTCAATACGTATAGAACGTGTTCTTTAAACTAAATATTCCCACCTTTAATGAAATTTAAAGAAATCGGAAAAATATGCTTTGTTTGAAGCCCATTTAAAAGTTTCTATTCAAGTTATTTCAAAGAAAGCAAGAGCTTTCTCTTGAATATTATGATCAATACGCATATTCTTTCAACTAAAAAATCTGTATAAACGCAATTAAAAATTAAAGCATTTTAAATCCCGCGATACACGGTATTAAAAATAACCAATAATAGTGTGTTTTTTTATCACGTGTCTATAGAAGTATCTATAGATAACAAAATTGCATGACGGAGGAAGAAAATATAACAATACTAACAAGAAAAATCCGTAATTTAACTTTCAACATACGAGCTAAGTACTTCGGCATGTTATGTGCGGCTATCAACAATTCTAGTTTGGGTTTAAGCAATTCTCAAACTTCTCGAAACAAAATGTTAAGTACGGAAGACTATTATAAACAAAGCGAACAAAGAATGAAAATGGAGAATATTTTTAACTATAATAATAACAACAATACATTTTTGCCTCATGATACGCACCTGCAGGAAAGTACTTCGGCGCTTTTAAATGATTTAAACGAGTTTAAAACTTTAACCAGCCAGAATAATACGGGAAGTTTAGACGAACACAGAGCTTTGCAACTTGCTTTAGAACTGTCTATGCTAGGTTTAACAAATGAAGATGAAATAAATTTTGCTGATATGCGAACTAAAAAAAGTATGAACACAACAGAATGTGTACCTGTACCCAGCTCCGAGCACGTTGCTGAGATTGTTGGAAGGCAAGGTAGATCTAGTTTTTCATATTTTTAGTTTTTTATTTACCTATTTACATAAGTATTTTCAGGTTTTAAGCTATTTATTTATTTCTATAATTAATACAAAAATAAAATAATTATATACAAAAAAAAAAAAAATTATGTACGTCTAAAAATAATGCGGCGGTTTGAATTTGTTTGTTTAAGCCCTAGAAAGTAAACATTAATTTCGATTTTTATTTTCGTATATAAAATCTAAATCGATTTTACTATTGTTCACTTGCGACGATTAATTTATTGCAAAGAAAGCAGATGACTTTTTCGTTTTAAATGACAACCTTTTTTTCTTTTTCAGTTTTTACGAATTCTCCTGAAGTTTAAAATTGTACACACTATTTAGCGTACTGGTTTTTATTCTTTCGCTCTTAAGTCTTAACGCAAATACTTATTATTTTTTTTTTTTCTTTTACTTTTTTTATTACGTTATTATACCACTTCAAACTTAATTATAAAAAATTGATCATATTTATTTTAAGAAATTTCAAAAAACCCGTACTATGTTGAAGATTTAAAAAGTTCGTAGTTTTTATTATAGATTTTTAATCAAGATTATTATCAAAATATGTTTCCTTATGTCAAAATGCATTATTTAATTGAGATTTAATTAATAAGGCATTCCTCTATAACCACGGCGCCTTACAATTATTATTCTAGATAAACGTAAAGAAGTGTTTTTTCGGAAACTTTACGGGGGGTTTTGCGTCTAAATTTTCCAAAAAAAATTAAATTTGGAGTATGTCTTTACATATTGTTAATAAATAAATGTATTTTTAATACTTTTATTTTAAAATCATAATAAAATTTATTAATAGGTTTTTTGTTGTTGTTTTTTTCTATCAGCTCTGGGATTACTAACCTTTAAATTAAAAATTATTTTCCCATAATTTGTTTACAGAATAAAGAATTTTGTAAACAAAGAAGAATTTATAATAGAAAAAGAAGAGATTAAAAACAAAAACAAAAAACTTTTTGAAAAATATTTCAATGAGTTTTAAACTAAAATCTTGTTACACAGGTTGCCAATATTTTTTGCAGTTAATACAAGTAACAACAGACTTTTATAATTTAAAAATTTCTACATTCTCTATGTTAAAAAACTAGTTATCGTTAGTTATCAATGGTTAAAAGGTTTTCATTCGCAGAATACATTATTTATATATTAAAAGTATCCAATAATAAGCCGTCTTCAATTTATATACCAAATAATTTATATTCCAATTAAAAACTTTTTATTTAAAAAAATGCATCAAATAGCTTCGAATTTCTATTTAAATTTTTCATTTTTTGTACCTTTAAAATTACTTAAATTAGTAAATATTACACATATTGTTATTACATCTATATTATAAATATTTCCTGCTACTTTATAACAACGTTTACATGCATCATAAAAATCAATTATCTTTTAAATAGTGATAAAAATTGTTCGCCCGACCTCGTAAATTGACTCATGTATTTAATACATAATTTACTAACATTTTAACGGCAGTTTATGCCATTGTTTTAAAAACTTATTTTGCCAAATGTTTTTCTTACGGAGCTTTAAATTAAAAAAAAATGCTATGCTTAAAAGTTGTAAAAAGTTTATTGTCACATAAAATTGAAATTTTAAGGCCCTTTATTTTGTAGGCCAATATACTTGAGTATTTCGCGTTAATAAAATGTTCCAAAAAATGAACCGCAATCTTTTTATTTGGCAAAAAGTAGTCAGGCCAAACCAGTCTGCACTGCTATGTGTAAATCAATTGAAATGAAATTTGTATTTATCTAGAAAAAAGGTGTTTTTTCTATACACCACTGTCCATAAAATCAAAGGTTCTTTTATATCAGTTCTTAAACTAACCATACTAAAAATTTAAAGTGAATCTGGTGTGCTATATTGAATTTAAGTATTTAAATAATGTGTTGTTGTGAATATACAGATTAGAAGCGTTACCCTAAGTTTGCATATGTAAAATTTTCTGGATCATGAATGTTTTCTAAAAATTAAATAAAAAAATTGCAGTGATTAAAACTTGGAACAACAAAATCCCCAGAACTTGTGCGCCCTCCCTCCTTATATGATGGTGATAAGCTACTGAGGTTTATGCTATTACTTTTCTTAGTTAAAGTTATGCTCAGATTTAAAAATTCATCTAATTATATTTTAGCATTAAAAATTTATGATCATATAAAGTATATAACTCCCTACTTTTTTTTTCTCAAACTCTCTACAATAGAGGACAATTTTTATAATTTTTGTTGTTCCCCCAAAAAAAGTTAAACCATTGCAATTTTTTTGCAAAGCATTTTTATGTGGCAAAAACATTAACATACTTTTTTAAACTTAAGGTTTGCTACATGTCATAGAATTAGGATTCCTGATAACTATTACTAAAATTTATAATTACAATCTATATATATATATATATATATATATATATATATATATATATATATATATATATATATATATATATATATAATATATATATATATATATATATATATATATATATATATATATATATATATATATATTATGTTTATATTATTATGATATAATATTATTATATTACAGTCAGTTAAAATAAAGTTTTTTTGACTCCAACCTCTAGTAAAGGTTGGTCCCCAGCAACTAGAAAAGCCTTTAATCTGAGTCTTAAAAATATAAAACAAGGTCTTTATGAAAGACCGAAAAAATAAAACGTTTTATAATAATCTTGAAACTTAAAGCATATTGTGGAATAAAAGTATAATCCAACAGCAAATTTTTACATTTGTTAGTTTTTTTGTTCAGGCAAATTTTATTACTATTTATGTATTTGACTTAGATTATATACATTAACATACATATATATTAGATTATATACATTAGTAGTTTAAAGTTTGCTAAATGTCTGAGAATTTCCCATTACCTAAAATCTAGAAATACCTAGAACTGATCTCAAATTTGATACATTAAAAATCACTGACTACTCTATTAAGTGCATTGTTGCAATTAGTTTGCCTCATCTAAATCAAACTTGAACATTTAAAGTTAATTAAATTCATTCATTTTTAATCAAGCATTTAATTCATATTAAAATATCATGTATAAATAAAAATACTTACAAACTCAAAAAGGTAAAGTTTATAAATAATTATTTTACAAACAGTAAGAAATTTCTTTGCTGTAGATTTTTCATGAGTATTGGCATCATATCATCAATTTTATTCAATGAGGTCATGTAATTTTAGGGTTAACGAATGTCCTTTTTTAAACAGCAAAGCATTTTAATATATTAATTAGATAAACTTATGGTCCAAGTTTAAATAATAAATTTTTAATCTTTTTAAATTTGATTTTGCTTTCATTGGTTGGCTATCTGGTTTTTAAATTACTCTTATACCTTAAGGAACAAATGTAGCAACCATAGATCATTTGATAATTTGTTTTTGTTTTTTGTGTCATGTCAGCTCTTTAAAATTTTTTTACAAATAATAGAAAGTAAAAAGAAGAAAAGTTACTAACTTATAATTTTTTGTTGTTCTTGTTCATGCTCTGAGAAGTTTCATTGCAAGTGATTCCAGAAAATGTGCTAATGTGGTTTTCTGGAATTACTTTTAATTGTTATAAGGCAGAATTTAAAATTTTAAATAAAAACTTATGTATAACAAAGTCCTTGAAGCACTAGTTATTCAAGTATTATTACCAGGGGTGTGGAGTCGTAAAAAAAAAGTAACAACTCTGACACCAGTTGTTGAAATTTTTTGAGTACAACTCCGACTCCGACTCCAGTTGTTGAAATTTTTTGAGCACAACTCCAACTCCAGCTCCAACTTCAAAGCAAAATTTTTGAAAAATCTTTGAATTCTTAAAAAAATATTAAGCAATAAGTTAAAAATTTCTTTTTTGACAAATTTAAGAAACGTTCTTTAAGGTTTAGTATTAACATAAGGTTAATTGAATGTTTTGTACATGCATGTGTAATACCAGGAAATTTTACTATTGGAGTCGGAGTCGCGATTTTGTTTAGCGACAGCGACTCCGCTAAAAATGTCACAACTCCGACTCCACAGCCCTGATTAATACATAGCAACATTCAATTTTGTTAAAATTTTAAATGATCATTTCTGACTAAATTTTAACTGATATTAAATTTTGACTTGTGTTTGGATCAGTGTAACTGCTGAAGAGCTCATTTAAGTTTAATTGAAATAAAATAAATAACTTAAGTGCTTTTGTTTGTAAACATTACTTAGTGTCACATTTTATGTAGTAGTGGTGCTTTGTAAACAAGGAGTTATATATCATGTATCAAAGCATATATATATTATGGGAAGTAAAGTACTACGCTTAATTCATTTTTTGTAAAAGCATTTTTTTGTTAACTTTATTATAGACAAATAATTTAAATAAATCTGGGTTTCTTATGTTTTAGCTCAAGATATTTGGTCAAGTGTAAACCTATAAAGTAAATATTAGTATTTTATATTAGAAACACCGACATTAGGAACTTTTGCTGCGTGAACAAAATTTAAAATTTTCCTCTTTGTTAATAATTGGTGGTTATTAATTGATGATAACTAATTTCTTCAAGATCTTTATTAATATTTGATGATAATCAAAAATAAAATAAAAATTTCCTATTTATCTTTATTTGAATAATCTTATAAAAATCCTATTTTTTTATTTCTTATTTATTTAACAGGGTGCAAAATAAAAGCTCTTCGCTCCAAAACCAACACTTATATTAAGACTCCAGTTCGTGGAGAGGAACCTGTCTTTGTTGTTACTGGCAGAAAAGAAGATGTCCATCTTGCTAAAAGAGAAATTATGCAGGCTGCTGATCATTTTAGTCAGATCAGAGCTTCTCGAAGAAATAGCACTTCTTTATCTCCAATTGGTCCACCTTCACCAACAACTCCTGGGCATGTAACTAAACAAGTTCGAGTTCCTTATCGCGTTGTTGGATTAGTTGTGGGTCCTAAAGGATCTACAATTAAAAGGATTCAACAAGCTACTAATACTTATATAGTAACTCCATCTCGTGATAAAGAACCTGTGTTTGAAGTTACTGGACTTCCAGATAATGTTGATCGAGCTAAGAGGGAAGTAGAACATCATATTGCATTGAGGACTGGAGGAATTTTTGATCCAACTCATCCAGAAACAAATGAACATCTGTTGAACGGATATTCATCAAGTTTGTTTTCTCCAACCGGATCAACGAATAGTGGAGGTTTTTCTTCTCTCCTAGACCATAATCTCCCTGGACATCCTCATCAACGAGCACAGTCAATGGACTCTTATAACTATTTAAGTGGTCAATCTTCAAATTCATCAAAGTTTTCAGATCTTGGCGGTGTTTCAACTGTTAATAGTCCATTTACCAACAATTCATTTCTTTATGATGCTGTTATCCCTTCACCAACAGCTGATATTGATAACCTAGGTCAATTTGATCCAGCTCCTGGTTCACCATCACCAAGTATTTGGCCAGACATGTTGAGGAAAGGTACTCTAATGAATAGGTTAGCTCATTTAATGATTTATTTTTATTCAAAAAAAACAAATTTATTGTAAGTTAATTAATATTTAAATGGTTTTAATATTTTAATGGTTAATAATTAAAAAGTTAAAAATTAAATTTTTGACTTTTGCTATAGGACTGTTGGTTCCCAAGGTTACTCTCACCGTTCTATGAGCACAAGCACATATACAAATGGAGAACGCTCTAGCCCTGCGCATTTGCGTCGATTAATGAGTGAGGGTGGAAATGAATCTTATTCGGTTCCTTCTATTTCTTACTCACAGTATAATGGCTCAAGCTCAAATATTCCATCTTCAGCGCATGACATTCTTTCTAATGGTGACCTAAAAATATCTAGTGATGGAGAATCTGGCAGTTCAACTCCAGACTGGTTAGTAAATAAAGGTAAGCAGTGCTATGTTTGTAAAGGTAAAAATGTGGTTGCTGCATTAGTTCCATGTGGTCACAACTTGTTTTGCATGGAATGTGCTGAACAAGTTAAAGAAGCTGATGGAGAGTGTCCTGCTTGCCATAAAAAGATTGAAGCAGTATTGCGAATCTTTAGTTAAATTATAGGGCTTCGTTTATTTTTCTAAAATTTCATTGTTGCTAAAATGATATTTTGTAATATTGTTGTAACAAGCAGAAAAATATTCCTAATTTAAAAACAAATCTTTCAATGATACTTCTATATTTTTGCATTTGATAATTTTTTTGGCGATAAATTTTTAAGAAAGATTGTTTTCTATATAAAGTTACATAAAAAACATTTTACGTTTTGTTTCATTTTTGTACTCTTTATAATTTGCAGATTTATTTTATGTTTCCTTCATTTTTTTTTTTTTTTTCGAATTATTATAGTTATAATTACTAAAGAAAAATTCTATATTATTAGTAACTGGAGAAATGGTTTATTTTTATAAGATTCTTGTTAAAATAATAAAATAAATACTTAAGAGATTCCATTTGTCATGAATATTATATGAGACATAATTTTTTATTCTAAAGATATTATTTGGAGGACAATTACCTATCCAATTTAAACTTAATATAATAAGATGAAATATCTTACAAAAATAAATAATACTTTATATATTTTTCTATAACATTTTAAATTATATAAAGCTTAATTTGGAAAGGTTGTATAATAAAGTTTGTATATTTTATTCATTTGCACGATTTTATCATATGAAATTTGTTCTATAAATTGTTACTAACTGTCATACATAAAATTATATTTGTTAATGAAAACTTTATTGTCCTTTTAAATGTGCATTAGCTTGTTTTCTTTTGAATTTTCTTTATTATTATTATTTTTTTCAATTCATGCAGAGTATATTGTAGAGAAACTTTAGTTTTTTTATCCAGAGTTCTTAAATAAATTTATACTTAACACTGATTTGTATAAAAACTTCCTTAAATTTTATTTTTTGTACACACCTTTTACTTTCTTGGCAATAATTTTAATTTCATTTTCAAATCTTCTCTGCATGAATAATTTTGTCTATTAAAAGAGATTGCTTGATTCTCAATTGTAAAATATATATTTTAGTAAAAAAGCTGACTCAGCAACATTTGTATAAATTGGCTGAGTGAGTTTAATGTAGTTCTATTTTTGTGATTTTAATAACTAATATTTTAAATCTAGTTTTATTTATAAATATATTATGAAAAACTTTTTCACCTTTATATTATACTTCTTTTAAATAACTTACATATTATCGACCTATAATAAAACAGATTGGCGACATAAATCAGCACCTTTTGGCTTTTTTTTTTAAGCAAAAAATGAAATATAAAATATGTCTTCAAACTGTTTTTTTATAGTCATTAAAAAAATTATATATTAAATATTTATGTTACGAGGGGAAATATAAACACGTAATAATAAAAGTTGCTATTTTTGCATTTTTATTATTGCGAAGAAATGCATTTATTTTGGTTGTCAGAAAATTGTAGATTTATAATAACAGTATGAATAAATTTTTACAGATGAGTAGTAATAAAAAATCTTATATTTGTGGAATTATTTTTTATTTCCTCACAAAACAGTTTATTGTACGAAAAATTATATACTTATGTTTGTAAATTATTGTTGCAGTTTTACGATATTTTTTTTTTCCATTATGGAAATGTTTTTATATCTTTTGATATCTTTGGGCGTTTTCGGGGAAAACTTAAGATATTAAACATTTTTCATTTTGTTTCAGTTTGCAAAAGTTTTTGAATTCTTACTGTCATAATTTACCTAGATTTACAAATCTACTTAAAACTAAAAAATGCGTATAATTTTAGAGGATTAGATGGTTATTTTTATTTACTACACATTATATACAAAATATTACTATGTATAGATTGACAATAAAAAATTTTGGATGAAATTTTTAATGTAAAATGTGTTTTTTCTTGTTTTGTACTGAAATGTTCCTAACCCGGTAAAAATGCAAAAAAACAACCGGACCGTTATTTTCTTCGCCGTTGTAATTGATTTTATATATATGTTTGATGTGAACCAGTAATCGAATTCATCCTTGGCGGTGGGGTTTCAAAAAAAGTGTAGGATGATATAATTAAATAACAGTTTTATAACTAGCATAAATAACATAACAAAAAATCAATCTTACCTAAAATATAATGCTGTTCTGTGAGGCTCCGTAACAAGACCATCAATATAACAAACTTGGCGCAATAAATGAAGCAAACATTAGCTCGCGCAAAAAAAGAGATTTTTACAAATCGCAACAATAAAAAACTTGAAGCTAACAATCCCAGCCGGCACAAACACGTCTTTTAGACGTTTTTTTCGCATCTAAAATGATAACACATTTAGATGTCTAAATTCAGATAAATATAAGACATCTATTAGCAGTCAGCTTTTAGACGGCTTGAGACAGCTATTATTTGTCTTCTCAAAAATAAATACAATTAGATGTTTTATATTTATCTGAATTCAGACGTCTAAAGGTGCTAACATTTTAGATGAAAACACGTACTTGTAATGGCTGGAATAGCTCATTTTAAGAATTTCAATTTTAAGGCATAGCAGCCGTGGCGCAGTGGTAGCGCACTTGCCTCAGAAACGTAAGATCCGTGGTTCAAACCCCACTTCTAGGCAAGTTTTGCGACATCGGTTGGGAAGAAGGCGTGAACTTCCAATTAAATGCTCTTCCGCGGTGCTCTGTGATAAGACCGTAATGACTTCATGGGGCACCTAAATTAACTAAAAAAAAAAAAGTCAAAATTAGATCTCTTAACTTTAATTTGACCACTCTGACTAGCAACCTAGTAATAAATAAACAAATTTATTGTAAACAAAGTTATTTACTAAATTTTCTGATTTTACATTAAAATATATAAATTAAGGCTGATCAGTGAACTACTAACATGCAGATAAATACTGTAAACTGGAGTGGCTTTGACCAATTTTGCACCTTAACGTCTAGTGCATGAAAACCACAAAAGTTATATTTTAAAACGCCGAATACTGATAGAAGTGCATAGTAATGATATTTACAATGGTCTCATAGTTGAAAATTAATCACTTGAAGTATTTTTTTTAGTCTATGTGTTGGGGTGACTTTTCCCCAACCAATTAAAAAGAGAGTAAATAAAAAAACACAACAGTAAACAAAAAAATAACTTTGGAAATAAGGTTTGAAAAAAAAAATTATTATAAAGTTTTAATAGAAAGTACAAAGAATTGAGGTACGAAGTCAACAAGTTATAAATTTAACTAAATACTATTTTGCAATACACCTAAAGTCATTTGATTTCGCCGAAAATCTCAATTCATTCAAAATATTTTTTTTCTGCAATAAATTAATTTATAATTTAAAATTAATCAATTGCATATTCAGGAAAACACCTTCGCTAGGTACTGCCATGATTATTAAAATACGTAAAAAAATGTATGAAAGTACGTAAAATAATCTGGATCTTAGGTGCTCGTGCCAAAGTACTGTTTATAAGAATTTCATAAAAGTTTATAAATTATAAATAAGTTAGACTAAATAACTAATAAATTTAACACGATTTTCCACTAAAAATTAACCGACATACTTTAGGGTACTAAATATAAACCATTTTAAAACAAAAAAATTCAGCTTTCAATTCAGGTTCAGTTATGCATTTCAAATTTATTTTTGAATAAGCTTTTTAAGCCTCATCTGATAAAATCCATTGAAAGGTTCCAAGTATTTATTTATCTAAACTCTATGTTCGAAATGATTCTTAAATGATTCTTAAATGATTCTCTAAATGATACTCTAAATGGTTTTCGATTTTGTTAACTCTTTGAGGTATTACATAATAATTATGGAGAGTCAGTGGTGTTGATACAGTATCAGTGGTGTTGATACAGTAATTCTAAATTTGTTTAAAACTTGCAGAAAGCTTTCAGAATAACTGTCAGTCTTTTTTTCCACAAAAACAATACTTGCACAAACTTCTGAAACTTCAAGAGCACCTCTTGTAGTATTGTCACTTTTTATGTTACTAAATGTTGGTTTTATGTTACCAGATCCTGGTTTAATGTTACCAATTCCTGGCAAATATGAGGCTCAGTTGCTTTCAAAATATGAGGCTTAGTTGCTCTCTGCATTTATTTTTAATAAGTTTATCTTTTCTGCTTCATTTATTTTTCTATCAGTTGCAATTTCCTAGAACTTTAGAAAGTCTATTCAAGTCTATTCAAAAGTACAAATTCAGCAGTAAAGAGAGCTCAATTCTCCTTATGTCTTTTCATCACAGTCTCTGAGCTTTATTTTTTTCAATTCTAAAATCACCAAAAATAATTAAACCTGAAAAAGTCATCACTACTCATTTACTATTGTCTTGTGTATCTTGTTTATTTCTTATTAAAATAAAAAATATATATACTATTAATTTTGAACAGACAAATAACATTTATTCGATTTATTACTTGTGTCTTATATTTGTCGAACTAATATTGTATTGTACTTCAATTTTTAACCTTTTAGTTTTTAACTTGTAACTTTGTGACGTTAATGTAAACGGGGCTTGGCGATAACACAGTTTATGTCTTCTTCTTGCTCCGGCCAATTTTTATACATGAATGGTTTTTTCTCATTGTAAATTTAATTATACGGCAAAGAAAATATAATAATAATAAAAAAAATTTTTACTAACATCATGAAAGTTTTGCTTCACAACATTGACAGAACTAGGTAGAATTGTTGCCTGTAAAAGCGTTCAATTATAGTTAACCGAAATTTTTTTTGGGGGTTTTGATTTGCTATAACTCAAAAAGCCTGCCTCGTTTTTGGCATCTTAGGAGAAATAATAATAATAATAATAACGGGTTATAAAATAATAATAATAACGGGTTATAAAAATATATATAATAATAACGGGTTATAAAATAATAATAATAACGGGTTATAAAAATATATATAATAATAACGGGTTATAAAATAATAATAACGGGTTATAATAATAACGGGTTATAAAATAAAAATAATAACGGGCAAAAATAATAATAATAACGGGTTATAGCTGAAAAACAGTAATGACTTTGAAGACAAAGTTATGTAACATACTTTATATCAATTATGGTTGCAATCATACGTAGTTTGTAGTATTGTCAATTCTCTACAAAACTTATTTTATTTTAAATTAAAATAATTAAAAGTTAAAAAGAAAAATGAGAGAAAAACAAGAAGCTAGTTGAGACAGCTTTTATTTGAAAAATTGATCCAAGGGAAAAGTTTACAGTTGATGACTTTATTGCTCAAACAATTCCTATTTACCTCTATAATTCCTATTTTCATCTATACTTTTATTTGACGCGCTGAAAATAATTATGGGTACCAGAGAGTCCCAGGATGTAGTAGGATTGCTAAAATAATGAAAAAAAAGGAACATCGAAAGACTTAAAAAATGTTTGACCACAAAGATGGAATATCTCAAACACAGGCAGCTTTGAAATTTAAGTACATCCAAGTATATATCAGCAAAACATTAAGTCTTTATTCAGGCCAAAGAAGAAGAAGATTCCATTAAAAACTTCATTCAGTTTTTACTATAATTATTACGAAAAGCTAAATTAAGAAATTGAATTAGTTTAATAAATTTGGAATTAAGTGTTTTTGCTATCTTAAGGTGAAAATGTTATTACGTTTTTTTGAATATAGTACAACAAAACGCAAATGAAAAACGGAGAAGGCGTTTTTTTCTACACAAAAAAATGCTTTGTTATATTTCGTTACACGTGAGTCGCCACCACATATGGCAACATCAACCTCAAATGCTCAGAATAAAGAGATGACGAGTATGCACCATTATTTTTTCAAGAACGTGTTTACTTGGTCAAAAATGGACCGTTTCGGGATTCAGGAACAAAGCATAAGTGTTTTGAAAAGTAGAATTTCTCTGTGAGATAATTTTTCAAAAATTACTAAATAATGAATGCTAGGATCGTTGTTGGTTTATTTAAACCATAAAAAGTTTTTTTTTTTTTTTGCTGTCGATTGTCCTCAGAACTAAAAATCAAGCTCACAATTGAAGGAAATAGCAATTGGAAAAACATGTCTTGTGTTCTAGCTGATTATGAATTGTCCATAAAGCACATACGTGCTTTATGGACATTGGTGACAATTGCTGTTGGCACTTGGTTTCATCCAGAAAATTGATTAAAGGAACAAGAGAACAATTGAAGAGGAAATACAAATTTTTTAAAATATACTTTTCGCAAATATTTTTATCCAGGATATATAAACAATCAGATAGTAAAACAAGCTAAACTTATTTATTTGCCTGTTGAAAAATAAAATAACATTTGATATCGTTAAACCACAGTTTAAAAATCAAATAACTCCACATCCTATTTTTGAATATTTTTTACAATTGTTATAAACTAAATTTAGACAACATGCAAATAAAATGCAAATTTTGACAACCAAATAAAATACAAAAATTATTGTCTTTGACAAAATAATTCCCGAAAAGGATCTTCAAGTTTTAAAATGTGCAATTAAGTGCTGGAACTCAAAGGAACAATGAAAAATCTTCGATGATATTCTTAAAGAATAAATTCCATAATCATGTTTCAAAAAAAATCTTAAATAAAAAGAAAAATTTTCATGCTGATCATAGTATGTTTATCCTTAATGTAACTTTATTTACCTTACTTTTAATATATAGTGGGTTTTTAACGAATATAATTATAATACTAAAACTAGTCCGAAATAGACTCAGTATTGCATATTGGAACAGCTTTGAAAAGAGTCGTTTCAATTGTTAATTTTCTTGTTCAACAAAATTTAGTATCTCGTAGCAAAGTTGCTTAATTGTTTTAACCAAAACAATGGGAAGGTTTTAGAATTGGTCAAATTGTTAGAAAAGTAAAATTTATGTCTAAAAGATCATTTACGCCGT